ACTGAAATAACTTTTAGTCACAATTATAATATAGTACAGACAAAGCACTTTGTAGCAATCTCAAAAGCACTTAAGCCTCTACCTGAAGTTTTTCTCTGTGTATTCTGAATTTCAGATATCAATGAAAATGCCCGAACTACGAAGCAGACCTCTTCATTTTATCGTTTGGTGCTAGAGGAGCAGCTACGCGATCGGTTGTGGTTACACTCAGACTAAAGAATGATGCAAGACACCTCTTTGTTGTATTTAATGGGAAGATGTTGTAGTTGCAAGAGAACTAGAGTACTTCTAATTCCAACCCGCCTACTTCGGTAGACCTGCAAAGCCCTGAGATGGGTCCTCGAAGTAGACATTCTGATGCCTAAGTCAGCAGTAATCAGAGCTACCAAATGCGAATCAAGAGCTGAGCTTGAGTTCGGTTTTCAATTATCTTTAGAGAGGACCCTCGAGGGTATTTATAGCCTTCAAAGGGAGCATTCACGTGTTGTTTTTCATGAGAAATCAGGATTATATGTGTTGATAATCCCATAAGGTTTCCTTACAGTATCCTTGCGCTTTCAGAGTTACTATAGAGTAGGATTAAGGGGGATGAACTCGAGCTCGGTCGAGCTCGTTGTTCTTCATTGCCAAGGTGACTAGGTCGGAAGTAAGTCCGAACGCCCGAGGTACTCGACCTCAGGCTATGTGAGATCAGATTGTGGCCTCAGGGCAACTGCGAGCTGTGTGAGGTCGGATTGTGATCTCGGACTACTACCACTACAGATGTCATACGAACAATAGGGACTGCAACCTGTATGTGCTGGGATTCTGGAACCTGGGTTAAAGGTTAACAACAAATCTAGCAGCACCAATAACTTAATGTTCTGAATAAAATAAATTCAATTTTTTTTAAAGAATATCTCAAATTTAAGTTTTTTTAAATAAAAAAAAAATTAAGATAATTTTCCTTTTATTGGAGTCTGACTCGATTCAATTTTAAATTAATCAGTATTTAATGTAATTTTTCAATACCAAGGGAGTTAATACCAAAAGGAATAAATCTAGCAGCCCATCAAAAAGTAATAATTGTAATAAATCTAGCAATATGGAAATGTAACTTGGCAATCTCAAACAATATTTAAAATTGAAATTGAATCAACTAAGCTTGTTTCTCCTTATTCTTAATCTGTTTAGGAGAACGATGGCTACGATAATAACCATTTGCTGAAAATCTATCCAGCCACAGAATAAGCTTCACTTAAGCCTAAGGCTTGAGGGGCTTAACAACCTCCCAAGTGAAGTCTGGATCGTCTCGTCCAAAATGACCATAAGCAGCAGTCTTTTGGTACCTGAAGTTGCCTCCCCTCTTCAAGTCAAGATTGATGGCGATCATGCCTGGCCTGAAGTCGAAATTCTCCTTAATCAAACCCAAAATATCCTTGTCTGGGATCTTTCCTGTCTTGTATGTGTCCACGAAAACTGACAATGGTTCCGGTACGCCAATGGCGTATGATACCTGGACGAGACAGCGACGTGCAAGCCCTGAGGCCACCACGCTCTTTGCAGCTTGCCTGGCAATGTATGCACCACTGCGGTCCACCTTGGTCGGATCCTTCCCTGAGAAAGCACCTCCACCATGTGCACCCCAACCACCATAAGTATCAATGATTATCTTCCTGCCAGTGAGTCCTGCATCTCCATGAGGTCCACCAATAACAAATCGACCTGAAGGGTTGAGGTGGAAAATAGTGTTGTCATCAAGAAACTGTGCTGGGACAACAGGCTTAATGACATGCTCTCTCAAGTCCTGGGCAATCTGCTCATTTGCGACAGTTTCATCATGTTGAGTTGAAATGAGAATAGTGTGAACTCGAACAGGGACCATGGCTCCACCCTCATTCGTGTACTCAACAGTCACTTGGGTTTTACCATCGGGCCTTAACCAAGGGCATGTCTTGTTCTTTCTCACTTCAGTAAGCTTGGCACCTAACTTAGTGGCAAGGACATGAGTAAGAGGCATAAACTCGGATGTTTCATCTGTGGCATACCCAAACATATGACCTTGGTCTCCAGCACCAATATCCCCAGGTTTCTTGGTAAGGTGACCATGAACCCCTTGGGCAATATCAGGGCTCTGTTGCTCAATGTTGACTAGGACTTTGCAATTGTCAGCATCGAGCCCAACATCGGCAGATGTGAATCCAATACCTCTGCAGGTGTCTCGAACTATCTTCTCATAATCAATCTTACCTTTTGTCGTGATCTCACCAAAGACCATAACCATATTAGTTTTGGTACAGGTCTCACAGGCAACTTTGCTTTCTGGATCCTGTTGTAGACAGGCATCAAGGATGGCATCTGAGACTTGGTCACAGAGCTTGTCGGGATGGCCCTCATTCACAGATTCAGAAGTAAAGAGGAAGGTATCCATCCCTACGTTGAACAAAATCATAGCTTTTTACATTGTTTTCATTAAATGAAAAGCATTTAGAATATTGAAAACACCCTCATCCAATGGTTTAAATTGTGCAGTTCAAACCGCAAAATTAGCTCCGATTTTGTAGAATAAACTAAAAATAAAATCTAGATGAAATTGAATAGTCAATACTAAAAATTTCTATAATTAGCTAGATGATCACTCTTCATTAACAAAATCATTATTAACCAAATCTGTAACATTGTTTATTGCGATGCCAATTGTTATGCAGAGAAGTAATTTTATATCATCCACAGCAGCAATTTCTGTGCTAACCGGATATTGCTCATATTATTGTATCCATTAAAACACAAGAACGAAGCAGAATCAAATCAACTCCATTTTGAACAATGCTAAGTACGTATTTAATGGATTAACCAAAAAACCAAACAATGCATGAAAATATATTCAAGACAAAACTAATGACGATCAATGCGCTAATAAAGCAACCATCATTCCACTGATCTACAACTCGTTTATCCTTAAAAAAATGCATCTAGATTCATAAATCCAGAAACTAACAGAGAAACCTGTAAATCTAAAAGCTTGATCGATTTCCAGATAAAATACAACTCGAAAAGGCGAGATCCTATGAGCAAAACAAGAATAACAGATCGAAAGTGAGAATGTAAAGAAACTCATTAAACGTAGAACTTCACGTACCGATGAGATATGTTGCCGTGAAGGAAAAGGAAGAGGAGGAAAGAATGGCGAGGTAGAGAGAGAGAGAGAGAGGTGGAGCGAGATTTATAGAGACGTTCGCCGGTCCGGTTGACTCGCTCTGTATTGGCTTCGCTCCGGCGTGAACCACCACGGTGCTTCCCCACTCTTTACGTTCGCTGGCTTTCCAATTTATAGCGCATTGGGAGGGTGGGGATCTTTAGTCTGCTTCTGAGTTCCATGTGTGAATTGATCTCCGCCGTCGAAATTTCATTGTCATATCTTATTTTGACGGATAAGATGAACCGATGTGAAAGTGATCGAGCAAGCTGCAGAACATCTGGTTGGTTGGTGTATGGGTCCCACTGCCACCTACTATTTTTATTTTTTAGTTGCTTATCTTTTAATTCAGTTCACGTGTAACTTAAAATTTAAATTTAAAAAACTCAAATAATTGAAATTTTGTTTGATTTGGTTGTTAGTAAAGCTGATAATTATAAGAATAATAATAAATGGGATAAAAATTTAAAATTAAAATATAAGATTAATGATGTGATTTATATTATATTATTTAAAATATTAAAAAATAAATTTTATATTATTTAATAATTAATTTTTTTTATTTTTTGACATGATATAAATTACATTATCAATCTTATATATTTATGAGTGGTAAACAACCTTTTTATACCATATTTTGATACAATTTTCACATGTTATTAAATGAATGAATGTATTCAATATCACAGATTCTACGTGAATAAAGAGAATCAATCATTTAAATAATATATTAAGTTGTACCAAAAAATGATACAAAAAAGTAATTCTAAAATCATTTTATGAAATTTATATGGTATTATCTTAATTTAAATCTTGATACCAACTAAAGTATTAGTAGAATCAACCAAGTTACATGATCTCAGATGGATTTAAGTTAATTTTAGTCAACTAAAGTGTAATTTAATCAATAAGCTATGATTAGTAGTTTGATTGTTTAAACACTCCATTCAACAGTGACTCAAGTTTGTAGGGATTTAACTTAAGAAGTGGTGGTCCTTGGACTATCTAAGACCATAGAAGCATACAGCAGATGGTTCCATGTATCAGGCACACCAGGCACACACCAATGGCTGCAATCTGCCGTCTTTGCAGGTCTCCTCCGTCTGCTAGTTTTGTAAATTGAGGTATGCGCATCCCTCCGGTACTCTGTCAGCTTCGTCACGTTCAAGTATTTCACCGGAGTCTTCATGGCAGCAATCGTCCTCTCCACAATTCCCTTCAGGGACTTTGCAAATTTCAACTTGTAGGACTCATTCATTATAGGCATGGTTGCATTGTAGCACCGGTACTTCCCGGAATGCACCGGCGACAATCCCCTGAAAAACACTCTGGTTTTTCTTGTATCCACGTTTTCCTCAATCCATCGTACCCATGTCTTCATTGCCATCATGAATGCTGTTTCCAGCTTCATCTGCTTGAACACTTTGTTCTTGTACTGAAACAAGTCCCATCTGAAAAAATTAATGTCTATCAATCACCGTTCATTTGATATTATTAACAAGAGTTTAGCCGAGTTATACATATAATTGAACATTTTTTTGATATGTATGATGTATCTATTTAGCTGTCTTTGTAATTATAATACTACCTTTTCCGGTTGACCCACCAATGGCCTGTGTTGAACACCATAACATCTGCCCCTATCCATTTCTGAGCATTAGGACTAATTTTGTCAAGTTTTAAAATCCTTTCCCCCGTTGTTTGGTTCTCTTCTAGTTCCACCAGGAAATTGGACCAGTGGAACTCTACAGTGCAGTCATATTCCTGCAACAACACATCATATTTGACCCTATTTTTTGTTCTAAATTAACAAAAATGTTAATATAATCTGAAACGCACAAGCTGATTCAAAATATATCTGAAATGAGGAAAAAACTAAATAAAATTTATTAAACTTGTTACAATTCTCTGTTGTACCTCTGACTTAAAAGTCCATCCTGGATTTGGAACCCTGGATTGATGGGGAATAGACGTATGGAGAAGGCAAGCAAGAGATTCCCATTGGCCATGGTTGATGGAGTCTCCCACTAGTATAACTCTCTTCCCTCTTAATCTCTCCAACATATCCTTGCCGTTGAACCTAGAATTTGTTGAGTGGTTGTCAAATTCCATATCGAAATATGATGAATCATGTTTGACTTGAATATAAAGAGGCTAATTCACATATTATTACCAAATTATTTTTAGTTAGCGTTTGGACTCACAACTTTACCTAGTGAAAAAGACACATAAATAAAGTGAAAAGCTAGCTTGGTGATTTACCTTGGAATCTTACAATCTTTAGCTTCCCATCTCCATTTTTCATACTCCCTGTCTGGCCGTCCATGCCTCCGGCAACTCACTGTGTCACTGAAAAAGGAATCACATATTGTAGGGTCGTACAAAGGACTTGTTTGAGGATCATATACCCATTTTCCATCAAAGATATCACATTTCTTCTCCTCCACTGCAATTTCTTCCTCAGTTGTTGATGATTCTGAACTTCTCCTGTCTGCTGTTAAAACCTCGTCATTGGCAGTTAATGGCTTTGAGTTATCCAAGACTGAAAGAACAGGAACTTTCTGGCCAAAATTTTCTGGGGGTGGCTTTGAATTCTGCAACTCCGGAACCAGGGCATGTGAAGATTTCCCTGGTTCCAGAATTTTCAACTCTGGTGAGGAAACCTGAGAAGATTTCTCATTTTCGGGTTCCACATTAGTACCGGTGAAGTTCAAAGGAATGCAAGATGACAAATTGGGGATACGAGAGGGAGCAGCTTGGAATTCGCTGTTGAGGGTGAAATTTTGTGGGTTAGGGTACTGCAAGTTGGCGATGGTTGCAGAGTGATTAGAAGTTGTTAACAGCGTCGGCAGGTTCTGAAGATCTGAAATATAATTGGTGTTGCTGGGGTTGTGATTGAGGAAGAAGAAGATAATGACCATGAAACTTGCAAATGTGATCACCAGACACCATCTCTGAATGATGGTGGAATAGGCGCTCATGGTTAAGATATTCAAGCTATAGCTAATATTTGCTTGGAGGAGTGAAGGGTCTGGCAAGATTCCAGCTCTGGGATGTCGCATTCATGTTTCTCGTCTTTTTATGAAGAGACAAACTTTCTGAAACCATTCACTCACTATCCCACCAAAGAATGAGATAAAGAAATTACCATTCATTTAATCAGGGGACAAAGTTGAAACCAACACGGTAAGAACCAACAAGACCATCAGAGCCATACCTCTTCTGGATTTTGTCAGTATTCTCTATCTCTTGATATTTTATTTTTATAAAGATAATAATTAGAAAATAAGTTAAAACCAGTACTTGATCTCCAAAACAAGTGATCTCCAACTCTCTTCGTTTAGGCGCGCGGCGCATTGGGCCCGAGTTCATTCTCTCTCTCTTGATGAAAGATCAAATATCATTAATTACGACGAATCAACAACAAACAACAGCCACAGTATCATTTATTATTATTGTTATTATTATTTTTTGGTACATACTTGACTTTGATGTTTTCATTCTTGGTAAAAATCTTCTTTAGTCCTTTAATTTAATAAATTTGTAAGTTTTAATCTCTCATCTTATACTATAACACTTTTAACTTTTTATATATACAAATTAAAGGAAATAACTGTCATTTCACTAAACATCTAGTTATAATATTCTGTTAGTTCTATTAGATTTGTTAATTAACTGTTAATTTAATTAACTAACTATTAGTTTTGTTAGTTAACTATTAACATCTCTTAACATTTTATTATAAAAAACATAAAATTTAAATTCAATTTTATTAGTTAGTTTCGTTAACAAAATAAAATTAGTTTCGTTAACAAAATACTAACGGAACATTATCAGTCAACTAACAAAATTAACAGTCAATTAACATAACTAATATAACATTATAACATAACCTTAAATAAGGATTATTTTTTTTAACTCATATAAGTAAAGGACTAAAAGTGTCATAGTATAAAGTAATAAGTTAAAACCTACAAATTTATTAAAGTAAATAGCTAAAAGTGTTATAGTAACCTTCTGAAATCTGGTAACCACATTAAGTTTCAATTAATCTGAAATCAAGTTGCGTCGAACCTATACGAGAGGAAGTTCCATTTACAAGACTCAAATTCAATCTTATTTAGGTGTAATCTGAGTTTTTTTCATTTTAACCAAAGTTGATGTTCTCATTTAATAATAGCACTTGAATCATGAAGCTGTAGATATAAACATGAATGATGAATCAAAAGCAAAGAAAAGACCGCTGCTTTATTTCAAGATAATTATTCATAATCCACAAGTTGAACTGATTTTCAGCAGTTCCAAGTCGTACAAGCCTCGTAGCAAGATTCCATGTTCTAGATTTCTAGGAGCCCTCAAGGATTTTTGGAGCACGACACTTGTGCTCTCAGAGCTTATTAACATCAGAAATACATATTTCGGCACACTAATCGTTTGTAGGCTGCTAGCACCACAACTGAGGAAGTTTGCTGTTTCCATGCCTTGAAATATAAGAAATGGAGTTTCTTAATGCAGCAATCCATTTTCTTATAAACTAGCATCTTAAAAACATTAGGACATGGAAGACATCAACACTTTCCCAACAAAGCATGTAGGCAAATGAATGTCAACAGTTGCTAGAGCCTAGAGGGTTGAAGCCCTTATTTTTTATTCGGTAAAGGTCAAACCTCATCCACTCTGATGATCATTTCTCGAGCTCCCCCTCCCCCCCTACAATGGGCATTGTGCCTGCTTCTTCCCTGTACAAAGCATTATACTTTGAAGCAATCTGATTTGTCTGTACTCTGAAAAACAAGACACGACCATGGTTATCAATGAATTGCATGTTCTGAATTTCTGTGCTACTTACTCATCATAATCTATTAGACATAACAATATATCAAAACAATTTATGATAGCTAGCTCAAGTAAACTACTTTTGAAACACATTTTATCAAACTTCATCCTCGACAGCAAGTTGATGATCGACAGATTTTTATCCAAAGAAATGTCTTATTTTCACCATCAGACTGACAACAGGAGCAGCGGGTAACCATGGTTGAAGTAAGATTTGGAATTAGTATTTAGTAAAAGTTTTGGCAAATAAATCAACCCCACCTTGTCGATAAACTGACTCCCCTGTAAGCTGAAGTTATCTGTCAACTAGTAGAATGTTGTTACAAATACCACCATTGTAAACTGATTCCTTTTGAGGATCAATAGTCCATTGACCATCAACAATGAATTTTATCTGCAATTTGAAATTTTCAAATGATGGTGATAAAAGTCCTAGAAATGTCATCGTTTAACAAAAACATATGTAGCATTAGATAATTAGTAACAACATAAGATCCAAAATAGATGTTCAGATTCAAACTTAAGGTATTCCACTTACTCTTCCATCACCTTTCAACAGTCCCCTTGGATCATCATCAATAAATGAACAAAGTTAAAAGCAGTTTGGCCATTTTATTTTAACTTCATACCTAAGGACCTTCCTATATTGTTCTAGTGTCTCCTCATATTGATTCTGGTTGGTGGTATAAAAAATATGACACAACCTGCCAATTTAGTTTACTAAATCAGAATGAAAACGACTAAATCTAATTAACAATTTAATCTTGCATACCAAGTGAAGAACAAATATCTGAGAGTAAGTTCCAGTTTTAACTGTCTTCCATGTTTTCAGGTAATTGAACATGAGTTTTTCAACTAACGTCACTTCAAGTAAATATCTATTAGTCAACTAAAAAATATGTTGGTTTCAGATGTCCACAGCTTGACTTGTTAATTCTGTTAAGATGAAAAGATAAAAGGTTGCTGTGTTATGAGGTAAAAGTTCAAACCTCATATGTCCCAGGATAAAGCCACAGAACTGTCGACCAAATTTTTGATTTCCTGGAAAACATGTCCACATAGTAGGCTCAGTATTTCTTTACCAATTTTCAAACCACCATTCAGAGGCTGAAGGAAAAGCTTATAACCATGAAAAGTATTAGATTTACATATGCCAAAGAGAAACATCATACTTCCCATGCATGTTCAAAAAAAAAAGAGAAACATCATACGCCAATAAACAGAAGTTAAACACCCAAAACAGTTAAGAGAAAATTGATATACACATCTATTTATTTCTAACACCCAGATAGAAATTCCAAAAATCAATTTAGTATAAGTTGGAATTAAAAAAAAAAAGAAAAAGAAAAAAAAATTTAGTATACTTAGGGATGACAATTGTACTGACATTAGTACAGCACACTACATTTGGTAAGTACATCAATGAAGATGTAATCTGCAAGCCAGACTTCCCTGCATCTTCAGGCCACAAGCAAATGAAAAAACTACAGAGTACAGTAGAATAAACTCTTTGATACTACTATGTTGCTTCAGTTCATAAGAGAAGCTGAAGAACATTAGCCAAAACCCACTTACTACTGCAATACAAGAAGTTTAGTAACTTAGCTGGGATTAATAGAAAATGGATCATCCCAAATATAAAAATTAATCTGAAGACAAATGTGAGACTATAGAAATATCAGCTTTTAAAAAAAATATATGAATAACCACCTTGATCTGATGGGGTCTATGACACAAGAAGATGGGTGAGGATCCATTTTAACCTGATGATGCCAACCATTGAAGCTACCTGCCACCTCCACAATTTCACCCTCCCCAGAGTATTCAATTTGGACCTAATACAGTAGTCCAGAAGTTCAGCCCAATCTGGTTGATATAAAGAACTAATAAAATGGAACAGAAATAAATAGATAAATAACAGACACAAAAATGTTAAAAAATATTAGCAGTGAAAAGGTAGTGTAAAACAAACATGCATATGGTACAATACCCTTTAGATTTTCCAAGAGAGATAGAGATGAAAAGGATGTAAAACAAATAATTAACAAACAAACAAAATAGAACTGTTTTTAGTACGTAAGGTATATACTGGTTGAAATTGACCAGGTTGAATCAGCATCATATAAGAGAGCATTACCAATATTTTCAACATATATACTACTAAATAAAGCAACATCTCAGATGGTTGATTTCTATCATATATAGATCTTCAAATCTAGTTTCCATTTTTTTTTTTCTTTTCTTTTCTTTTGGGATCAAATCTTCAAGTCTGGTTGATAATACCTATATGAAACAAAATATTTCTAAAATATCACAACTTATAACTAAGCATGGCCAACATCCAGGGTTCATAGATGCCCTCCATCCATTTATTACAAATGATATTAATTAAGCACCTCTTTGAGTCCAGCAAGACTTTCTTCTGCAGCATGTAACTCAGCATCTTTCTGAGAGACAAGTTCTTGAGCCTTCTTGATCTCTGTTTCAGCCTTGGTTTGCAAGGCAGACAAAGCAATCTGGTACAAAAGCAAAAAGTGGCTTACCAGTAGTAGACAAGGTTGACAACTTATGAATCACACAGAAACTGAACTCAATTTCTGATTATCCAACTAAGCCCTTGCTTTAATGTCATGATACATGTACATTGAGATGTAAGTTCATCGAGGTCTTGTAAAGAAATGAGGTGCATGGATTATGCCTAAAGTGAGAAATAATTTGGCAAAATCTGGCAATTTGCATGCGATGGATGGTTAGCCTTTAGCATAATCCCCCCTTAGGCCTTACAACAAAATGTACATACCTCACATACCTTTTCCTTTTCAATCTGCTCCTTCAAACGAGACATCTCCAATTCCTTTTGTTGCTAAGTACACAAAGAGATGCAATAAAATGTCTACGGAGTTAGTCTATGTGACAGCACACAAATAACTTCATTGGTGGAGCTGCAAGAGCAAGATTAGTGTTTTTTCTTTTTTTGGTAGAAAGAGCAAGATTAGTTTACCAGCATAAATCTGAGACGATCAATCTCAATTTCATCACCCCCTCTGATTGACTGTGACATGGACACCAACAGTTAATGTTAAATCTAGCACTCAGTTCAACTAAAATTGAGTGACAAGGTATGTTCAATAACCTCAAGATTCAACTCCTCCAAATTATAACTTTTTAGTTGTTCTGATTCCATTTTAGTGACTGCCTTGCTTACTTCATCACCACTTGCATTTGATACTCCAAAAACACTATCTGAGCAACAAGCAAATCCAAAGAGTTTAACTTAGATTTACAAGACACCATTGAAGAGGCTCAGCCATTTCAATTTTGATATACAAATCATTTTGCAAGTGCAGGAGAAAATTTTGTAACATCACTAACATGCACCTGAGAGGAACATACATCAAAATGATAGTTAATACTTAATATAATTATTTGGAAGTTCAGTAACATCACAAAAGAAAGAAATTCTTTTTAAATTGCTCTTCAAATGATTAGTTGAAGCATTGAAAACCATTTTGTTACTAGCATCCACAAAACAAGCAATTCGATCTTACAAGCTAAAAGAACAGAAGCAGGTATACCAAATTGGCAAATTATGAGGGGTCATCATCGATTTATGTCAGTTGACTACTTGTTACTACTTTAAGATCCCCAGGCAATAATCAGAGATGAGCTAGTTCCGTAACAACAATGGTTACTATAGCAGACTAACAACATTGTTTATCAAAAACTTACCTTCAATTTTATCAAGATCTCCATTCTGAATAAACTCTGACACTTTTTTCTCCAAGGTTGAAATGCCCAAAGATTCTGTAGGCCTGCAATCATGGTCACTGGATTCAAGATTTAGACCGGAAGTCAAACTTCCCAAATAGTTCCTTTGAATGGAGCCATTGGTTGATGGAAAAAGGTTGTCAACCATAATCTGTGACTTCTCATTCTGATCTTCAAAACTGTAAGCAGTGCTTTCCTTCATGGAATTATGGTTAGCAGTGCTGAAGTCGTCCACAAGGGTAAGATTTTCCACACTGATAACTTCTGCTGACAAGGAAAAATCTTGAACCGCATTGCTTGCCTTTTCATTCTGACCTTTTAAATTATACACGATTATCAGTAACAGCCAAATTCTATCTCCAACTGAGAATAGAAGAACAGATATTGACCTGTTAAGATTTCTTCCAAATTGCCAGTCATGCAATGATTTTCCACCAAACTCTTTTCTCCAACGAACTCATCAAGGTCTGCTACTGTTGAACTTGCAAGAAGCTCTTTCATAAGTTTATATCCTCTCCGTCTAACAAGGTTAGCAAGATCATTTCTACAGAAAATTGGAAAACGCAAATCAACTTGAAGGGTATTTACAAAGCTGGAATAGAGGATAGCACTGCTCCTAAAGAGGGTATTTACCATAGCGTGAACAGTACACCTAAAGATCTATAATTTGCCAAAAAAATTGAATAAAACAATGGCCAATGAATGTAAAACGTTGGAAAGACATAAAATTTGAAATAGGAAACGGGATGCAATCAACCCATTGGAAAAAGAAACGAACACTAAGTAATCAGCAATTAACAATGAAGAAGACTGTAGTTTCAAGAACCTTCCGTGTTTCGAAAACTCCTTCATAGATGGGACATGACCCTCAGGAAGTCCAACCACTGATACAAACTCCCGCACTTCATTGCACAATTCCTCGTCACTCTTAATCTTTCTACTCCGCCTAACATCATGCAGCCAGACCCAGTTAATAAAAACAGCACAAAATGGACAACCAAAAAACACCCAATAAGCAAGGAAACATTAACCACAATAGCAGAACTAAAAACCTGGGTTTTTTAGCCGAAGAAGCACAAAGTATGAACTTCCTTCCAGGAGGGCATTCCTGGGTTCTCCAGCTTGGCCGTTGTTGCTGCTGCCCAGACGAGAAGAGCAGCCTATGCACAGAGAGGGAAAGCATGGTCGGTGGGTGAAAGAGAGTAGCCATGCGCAAACCCCTTCTGCAGCATTGAAGTGAAGAGTCGAAGATTGTATGGTTCTTCCCTTCTCCGAAGGAGTTTTCTGGGAACTTGAATGCAGATTTCTAATTTCTAACTCAGGGATTTCGGAGAAGACGACGTCCAGAACATTATCCAGAATCCGGAGAGTTCTTCGGTTTATCGAGATAGAAGCCCAGCCCAAAAGGTTCCATATTATTAGGCCCGATAAATACGAAATTTTATGTTTTAGAACTTGGCCCAAAAGTTATTGAGTCTGTGATTTTATTTATTTAGTTGTATAAAAAAGAGTCGTGCAGTTTAACCATACAACCATAACTATTAGGTAGGGTGAATTTTCATCTCTGATTTGATGGTACATAATTATAATTTTTGGATAAGTGTTTTTTTTTTTTTTTGAAACAGTTTATAATTTAGGGGAAGGGAGGAGTTTTCAAAGGTATTAGTAAGATTTGAAGTTTCGATTAATTAATTTAAACACTTTAAAATTTAAAGATGAATCACTTAAACTTAAAAGATCAGTACTGATTAAAAAATCTTTTAATATTAAGAATTTTCTTGTATTTAATGAATTTATTTTATAATTTGAAATAATTTAAATTATAAAATAAAAAAATTTTATAATATATTTAAATTAAAAATAAAAAATATTTAAATTAATTAAATTATAATATT